GCGCACCACCGCAAGCAATTTTGGTCCAAACGTATAGGATATAAACATAGACAATAATATATACTCGTGGGCCGTAATATAACCCGTCTGGAGTCCTCTATAGGAGTGTTTTCACCGTGAGTCATAGATCAGGTCACGTGTATTTGTTACCCTGTGTCATGGTTGGCAGATAGCGGAAAGCATGCTTGCTGAGCATTTAGAGATGAAATGACCACAGTTCTTATAGAAGCGCTGTTTAGTAGTGCACGTCACGGCGTGTGTGCTGCGTGCGTGCAGTGCTGCACGTGACACCGTGCGTGCATTGCGTAGCGTGCGTTGTGAAGCTTCACACGGGTGCGTGCGTGCGGTCTGTCGCACGTACACGTTCTTACGTGTCGTGGCAGCGTATACGTCGGCGTGCGTGCCGGTCGTGCACGTACACGTGCGTGCCGGCGTGTGCAGGTACACGTGTGTGCCATGATTGTGCGTTGTGCGTACGTGCGTGTGTGTACAGGTCCACGGTGCGTGTGTGCATGCAGCTGCACGTAGACGTGCGTTGCTGCGTCGGCGTGCGGCGTTGCGTGCGTGTGCACGTACACCTGACGTTGCATGCATTGCGTGCGTACGTGTGTACGTAACGTGGCGTCGCATGCGTGCGTGGCGTGTGTGTGTGCGCGCCTGTGACGTAGTAGGGGTGTTGTAGGCGTACACGTGCGTGCATGTGTGTGCGTGTGCTACGCGTGCGTGCGTGTGCAAGTTACATCGTGCGTGGCGTTGCGTGTGACGTACACGTGCTGTTTGTTGTGCGTTGCGTGCGCTGCTGTGTGCACTTACACGTGGCCGTACATGCGCTGCGTGCGTGGGTGGTGCGTGTGAACGTACACGGCGTGCCTTGCGGTGCTGTTCACGAGGTACCGGGTGCGTGCGGTGCGTGCATGTGTGGTGTGTGCAGGTACACGTGCGCAGTGCGTGCGTGTTGTACTGTAGCAAGTGCGTGCGGGCGTGACGTATGCACATATACGTGCGTGCGTGGCGTGCTGCACGTGGCAGCAGCGCCTGCATGCATGCTGCGTGCGTGCTGTGTGGCAGGTACACATTGTGTGCATGCGCGCGTGCGTGCACGTCGCGTCTTGGCATTACACATGGCCGCGCGTGCGTCACCTGATATGAGCGGATTACTTTGTTTATTTTTTTGACTTTTTAACGCCAGGATTTTTTAACGGGGGGGGCAAAAACAGAGAACTGCGCAAAATAGTGGATGAGTTAAAGGACAATTGAATTCAACTTTTCTAACTTCTGTAACGTTTTTATACATAGAAATACATTCAATAACGCATTTCATTTCAAATCCGGAGCCCAATTAGTAATAAAACCCTGAATAGTAATCTAGGTCATGTGACGTCATGGCCCCAAGTTGAGCGATAAGTCTACTGATAAAAGTTTATTAGGGAAATCTATGCTGAAATACCCCATAACCATTTTAAATGCATATTCATCACAAAATATAACTCCTCTGGTGAGATATTGCGCATGCGCTAACACACTAACGTAGCCAGATTGTGTACTGGCTGGTATACGCAGCGGGGACCTAACATGCAAGGTCTTCCTCCTATTTCTTAAATGATGTCTGCTGATCGAATGTTATCATATAAATCTATGCTAAGATAACTCCTCTTCATTTTAAATGCATAATCTTTGCCAAATACGATTGCTCGCGGGAGATATTGCGCATTCGCGCGCACTGTGTTAGGCGTGCAGTGCCGTCTGAGGGAAACTTCATAATATAGCTTGCTGAGGGAGAGAGGGGATGAGACACTGAGGAAAGGCGACAGGAAAGATAGCTGGAGTCGGTAGAAAAAGAAGGAGGCTGAGCGAGGGACAGGGGAGGCAAAGGAAAAGACACGAGGGAATAAAGTAGGTGTTTTGTACCCTATATGCTAGGGCGCGCTCCTAATTATAAACACAGGTCTACTAATAAAAATTTATTTGGGAAATCTATGATGAAATACCCCCTAAACATCTTAAATGCATATTCATCACAAAACATAACTCCTCTGGTGAGATATTGCGCATGCGCTAACACACTAACGTAGCTAGATTGTGTACTGGCTGGTATCCGCAGCGGTGACCTTACATGCAAGGTCTTCCTCCTATATTAATTAAATAATGTTTACTGATGGAATGTTATCATATAAATCTATGCTAGGATAACTCCTCTTCATTTTAAATGCATAATCTTTGCAAAATACGATTGCTCTTGGGAGATATTGCGACTGCGCGCACCGTGTTAGGCGTGCAGTGCCGTCTGAGGCAAACTTCATAATATAGTTTGCTGAGGGAGAGAGGAGATGGAAGACTGAGGAAAGGCGTCAGAGAAGATAGCTGGGGGGGGTAGAAGAAGGAGGCTGAGCGAGGGACAGGAGAGGCAAAGGGAAAGATGCGAAAGCATATATTAATATATATATATAAAGTATGTGTTTTGTACCCTACATGCTAGGGTGCTCTCCAAATTATAAACACAGGTCTACTGATAAGTTTCTTATGGGAGGGGCACACGAGCGTATTTTATCGCCGTGTTTTAAAATCGCTCGAAAAATTCGCCCGTGTGTCCGTTCTTCGACGCCGATTTTAATCGCCCGTACGAATCGCCCGTATCAAAAATGTTAGATATATTAGGCCGATTATTTACACTGGCAAATTCGCTCGTGTGCCCGTGTCCGGCGTATTTTGTCGAGCGATCGATTTTTTTAAACCAATCGGACGTGTTGTAACTTGTTGATATCATGTAATGCATCATGTGATCATGTGATTCCGTCGAGTGGCGTACGCGTACGCTCTCAAATACGCTACGTGTGCCCCTTCGTGATCGGGCGTATAAATTTGCTGGCGATTTTAATCGCCGCGATCGGGCGATAAAATACGCTCGTGTGCCCCCAGCTTTAGGGAAATCTATGCTGAGATACCCCATAACCATTTTAAATGCATATTCATCACAAAATATAACGTAGCCAGATTGTGTACTGGCTGGTATACGCAGCGGGGACCTAACATGCAAGGTCTTCCTCCTATTTCTTAAATGATGTCTGTTGATCGAATGTTATCATATAAATCTATGCTAAGATAACTCCTCTTCATTTTAAATGCATAATCTTTGCCAAATACGATTGCGCTCGGGAGATATTGCGCATGCGCGTGCACCGTGTTAGGCGTGCAGTGCCGTCTGAGGCAAACTTCATAATATAGCTTGCTGATGGAGAGAGAGGATGGGACACTGAGGAAAGGCGGCAGGGAAGATAGCTGGGGTCGGTAGAAGAAGGAGGCTGAGCGAGGGACAGGGGAGGAAAAGGGAAGAACGCGAGGGAATAAAGTAGGTGTTTTGTACCCTACATGCTAGGGCGCGCTCCTAACTATAAACACAGGTCTAGTGATAAAAGTTTATTAGGAAAGTCTATGCTGAGATAAGAGAGTTCTGAAATTCCCAGGGTAGTTGCATTTCACCTGTTTTCATATTGTGTATGCATTCAACTTCAGATTGTAATCAGCTGTAGGGCTATGTGGTGTGGGGGGGCATCTCTGTGTGTGTGTGTGCGTGGGTGTAGTTATACAGTTGGTTGGAGAGAGTTGCTTTTTGGGCTCAGTTATTGAGTAACCAACGGAGTAATAGTATAGGCCTATAGTAAGTAAGGCGGAGTAATAGAATATTAACCCACCTGAATTAAAGCTGCAGTAATTAAGTCGCTACGGACGTGATGAGAATCCTCGGTCATAATCGGTCATAACAGGATAATAGAGAATTGGTTGCAGCCTGACAGTTTCTGTAAATATTTGAGTTGGAAATACACATTTTGTACAAAAATATTCAATCTGGTCATTTCACCCTAAAAACTAAACATCAAAACAGTAAATTGCATTACTAGTATCATTCAATTTTATTTTAACAGCTAGACACACCACCAGCACATGAACTGTTTCTACTGGTGTTCGATAAATATTCATATAAACCAATAACACACCAATGACACAGTTCTGCAGGTTTATCCTTTTCTTGGAGCATCCCATATGGGATTATAGCATGATCGTCTTCCCACTGTCTCTTCTCTCTCCCCTCCTCCCCCTCTCTTTCTCTATCTGTCGTTCTTGTTTTCACGCCACCTCTCTCTCACTATTTCCTTTTTCTCCTTCCCTTAATGTCTGCGACCGAATAATAATGGACTCCAACCTTCTTGTCACGAGCACTCCTCTCTATCCTCCGCCGCTGGAGAGAAAAAAGATGTTTACCTATTAGTTTTTAAATCGTTGACAAGGCATTTTTTATAATATTTTGATATTTGCATTACTCCTTACATTTTATGCAATAAAGATGTCATAAATATTGAGCAATGAGGTATAAACAACTCCTGCACTCATACCCGCTGCCAAAATCTGGAAAAAAACCTTGACAACGCGACAATCAACTTCCCATCAAGTTTGTTCATGAAAGAGTGAACCAGATGCTGAGCATTCACAGATAATCATCATCTGAGGGAAAACTTATTATGCTTAGTGCTTCACGACAAAACCAAAATTATACACAGCACCCATTACAACACAATGTTCCTAAATAGCTGCCTGTCCTGAATGTCTTACCTCTTTTGATGTGAGTCTTACGCCCGGGTCCATTCCCTTATCCTCGGTGAATTCCCGTTTGTTTTTCCTGCCACTTGATGGCTCCACATCCACCAGGGCGACATTGGCTGACTCGCGTACCGTGTATTTCGTGAAGCAACCTGAGACAACATAGACGGCACCCCTGATAAGCATTTGCTTCTAACAACAGCTTATTATTAAAAGTCGAGGTTAAGCAGATGAAGACCAACATAATGCAGATCCCACACCAGAAGTGGGAAACAAAACTACTGTATACGCCATATTTTTCACGTACAGATATTTTCTCGAATTCAAACTTGATGGACAATTTCGCGAATGGTTAATTTCGCAGTCGGTGACTTCCCGAATTAGTGAAGAACAGCGTGTTGTTATTTTCGCGGTCGGGGACGCGTTCGCGAAATTTGCGAAAATGAAACCACTGCAAAATATACAGCGTATACAGTACCTGTCGTCTTCTGCTTGTTCGTCGGCCAATCATCGGCGACGTCCGTCACAGTGAATGCCCCACTCCTGCTCTTCTTCACCACCCTCCCATCGGGCCCTGTGCCTCTACCACCCTTTTTCTTATTTCTCTTCATCTTCTTCTTCACCACGGACGGCGATGCCAATTTCAAATCTGTTGAAATTCGTGTCAGATCTACGTCAGACTTAGATGCCTCGTTTGACGTGTGGGGGGCTGTTTCAACAGGTGTCTCGCTCTGTCTCAATGACCCATCGCTGTCTCGATCCATATTGCTATCTCGATCCTCAATGTTCTCCTCACCGTCAGGTTTTGAGACGAAGTCACCATCTTGAATCATGTCTGATAATCCTGACATGCCGTCATCGTCGGATGGAGGCAAAAGCGCTTCTTCTGCGGGTGCACCGATGACGACACCGCTGCCTCCGCGCGACTCACCCGCATACTCATCCTCCTCCCGAGCACCAGTCTTCCCCATCTCCTCATTGCGTGCAACTTCCTTCTCTTCTTCTTCCTCTTCCACTTCACTGTCCGAGATGACGTCGCTGTCGGCAGGACCGTCACACACTGCCAATGGTTGCACGTCATCGCCGAAGAATTCTGGCCCGACCGTGATCTGACTGAAGTCTTGTACGACCTTAACCTGTGGCAGTTGTGGTTTCTCGTCACCAGTGCCCTCTGGAAATGATGACTCATCCACACTCAACGATTCGCCGACCTTCGCTATCGACTTGCTCTCCTTTGTTGACTCCCAGAAAGGGGCACTTCTGTCCTGGAAAGATGAGAGTAACAAAGAGAAGTTATTCTTAAGCTCATCCATCCAAGGACTATGCCATATTGGTGTCCACGCCATTTTACGTCTTTTACACGATGGCTAAATAAAGCAAAACTTCAACATGTAAAACGATATTAATTGATGAAATTTGTGTATGGCCACACAGCGACAACAGATACAGCAGACACAGATATCGTTAAAGAATCGCTACGTTACACATAGATCACCCACCGCACCCACCTCGCATCCAGGCGGTTTGACGAAATACGGCAGTTTACCTCTCTGCCAGTCGTTCAGCACTATCTTAGCTACAGTAGACAGGTCTGGTTCACCACCCTGCAATGCAAACACCAAACAAAAATGACCATGCCAAATTACAGTTGACTACGTAAACAAGAATGACAAGTTCCTTCAGATCTTTGCGATTACTGTTGACATCGGCGACCTTGACAGAGCGGTTTAAGCTCTCACCTTGAGTAGCTTGCCACTTCTTCGCGCGCACATCTCAAGGAACTGCTCAGAGTCAGTCCAGTCGCTGACGCGGTAGGTCTTGGCCAGGTACTCCGGCTTCACCCGCTCCAGCACGGTGGCGATGTAGTCTTCCGGGGCTTCCACCTTCTCCACACGCACCTGAAATACAGTGAATGATCGCAACATCAATGCGTCGCGTCCCGAGTACGGGCAGGAATGATGGCAGCAACCAGGTTCTTGACCGAGTTATGGGCACAATGTATGAATACAAATCTCCATAAATATGCTCGTTGGGCTAAGAACTTCCAGTAGATAAGATAAGATTCTATATGAAGAAATTAACTATTAGTTAGATTGATCTTCACAGAGTAATAGAAATGGGCAGATGACTTACAACACCCTTCAGTACAATTTCTGTGTCTGTTTCACCAGTTGGGTAAACTACGCCAGGACAGTCAATCAGGTAGATTCTTCGCATCAACGTCACATATTGCCACACCTTCGTGATGTATAAAAAACAAACTAAAAATCAACACGCAGCATGAAAAAGACATTGTGTACCAAACGGATAAGGTTTTTTTTTTTATAATTATTTTCTTAGAGTGAAACCAATATTTCCATGAGACAACTAGAAAATTACGAACATGCATTTACCTTGGTTTCCCCAGCAATTGGAGCAACATTACAGACTTTCCTGTTTCGCAGTGTATTGATGATGGAACTTTTTCCAGTGTTCGGATAGCCTATTAGCCCAACGCTTATCTGTCTCTTGTCAGAGTGGAGCTATCATTAAGAAATATCTTTAAGTAAAAATGCATCTTCAAAGATATCAGTTTATATGGAAAATCAGAAATATCTGGGGCGATAGATGAATTCATATTAGATATGATGCGGTAATCATTACATTTAGCTTACTTATTTAGCACGTGTCGCAAACTGAATTAATGTACTAGTAACATCTGAGCTTATAAATTCTTTAATTTTCTTTTGTACCTTGGCAAACTGTCTTAGCAAACTAATCAGAGATCCTTTGCCAAATGGATTTTGCATGCTTGCATGGAACGCCAATGTGGGATACTCATGAGACAACAGAGCAACCCATCTTTGCTGCAACGAGTAAGAGAAGATTGTGTTATAGAGTAATAGAAATTATAAATTTACAATGAATGTGTATGTTTCTGTTTCAGAGTAGTTAGAGATAAATGTATGATTTCACATTTGTTATAAACTCCTGATCTGAAAGATGTGCGAATGAAATTTAAAAATCCTATTTACGCCATCACTCTAACAGGCATGCAGTGAAGGTGCAAGCCCCACAGACGATATAACCCAACATCATAAAACAAATTTTAAAGTTACAAAGCTAACCAGTGCATAATATGAAGAATGCTTACTGTCACCCATGTTGGCACCAAGTCAACCTTATTTATAACGAAGATTAGGTGCTTGTATGATTTCTCTTTTCGCATGTAGTTCTCAACGTAAGGGGACCGTGTTCCAATTGGATCTCTAGCATCCAGGACTTGAATTACCACATCCGAAGAATCAATAACCTACCAAAACCCAGGAAACCACAATTTAAATATCTAAAATTGAAATCATCACTTGTCACTTATGAGAAATCACCTTAATGTTTTTATTTCAAAATTATTGCTCAGAAACGCTCAATCTGAAAAAATATATAGCGAAATATAGTCTCACTTTACAGCAGATATATCATTGATTACACCAACGTGAAAAACACTAAGATTTTATGCAGTTATAGCATAGAAAATTAGATGTGAATATTATACATCGTAACAACATGACATTTGATTATAGCGAGAATCAATTTACAAATGGCGCCTTCAAAACAAGTCCACCCATATTGCACCCGATTATAACAAAGGGGCATTTGATTTTGTGTATGTAGTTGACTCTGTTTGTCTTTTTAAATTAGCCAATAGCTGGCGCTAGCCCAAGATTCGCAAGAAATGGCGGCGGTAATCAAAACAAGTAATCAAAATTCGAATCGTGCATGTTTTGGTGAATACAAAGGTTTTAAGACATTTTATCGTTACTTTAGACAGTTGCTGTTATTCAAGCAATAACAGTGTCGTAAAAGTGGGGAAAACACGAGATTATGTTCGAAATAATAACTTTAAACATTTAATATTTAACAATTAGTTTGTGTTAAATTATCATTCACTTACAATGAATCAAATAAGCAAGGTATTCGCACCTTATACAACTCGTTCCAGATTCGTTTTGACTGGCCCTTGAAGAAGATCATTTCCTTGGGAGCTGCAGTAATGCCGTCCGTCGGCTTTACTAGCGAGTTGTCCTTTTCAGCATTGTATGTATCGCCGGACTTCATCGCACTGTCTGCCATTGTCTACAAGGTGAGAGAATATCTGAATCACTTAGTAATTCTTCCTCAAGTAGAAACTGCCAAACAGTATTAAATCATCACTGGAAGACGACGCTTCTTTTTCATGACACATATTTTACAAGTTCTAACTTACTGATTTCCTATCTGGCAAAGTCTTGCTATTGCTTTTGATTGATGGGAGTTGAGTTCTTAAGGATACACTCAAGTTTTAATGTAAAATTTCATTGATTTTTCATTTTCAGTCTTATTCGATGGCTAGCACGAGGTGCCACCTCTGTACATACTTATTTCTCTATCAGCATCAGTGTATGTGAGCTTTCAGAGCGTTTGAGCTTTTTAAACACACATTTACTAATGATTTCAGAAACATGATCCAACCAGCCTGTTTACGGTATTCATTATACCAGAATCTATCAGCCTCAACCCTCCTACAGTCATCAACTGCCAGTGATAGTTGAAATTGCCGCACAGTCGAAAATAACACGTATACCTCATTACAGTGGCCTGAACTTGTTGACACGCAGCTAGTGATGTCATACAGTATGTAGCATTCGCGCATTTCACATCAAATTGTAAGTGGTAATCTCGTAATTTCTCACAATTTCTTAAGATGCACAGAGCATTTTACCAATTTAGTGGTTTCAGTTAGTCATGGATATGTCGCATGCAGTTAGTACTAAGAGTAGATGTTTCTCATACATTCACCCATTTCGCACGCAAGCAGTTGATCATTGTGAAAAGTAGAAAAACGCTGATATTTCTCTGCCATTACAACTCGGAAGAATTTAATTTTACACTCATTTTAATCGTAACACATTGCTGAAAAAAGGGTTTAACATTCAGTGCCATCTTTTATAAGTTATGGTTCTTTATTTGCATAAATTTTCAATCCGAACATACAATTTAAAATGTTGGCAGTTTTTTTTCTGGTAAATGTGAAACTTGGAAAGAAAAATCCGGACACACTTTGTTGGTGCATACTGTGCTTAACTTGTGGCAAACGTTTTGCTTTTACACTCTTTGTGGTAATTGAGAAATATCCAAAACACAATTTTTACATACATTTTTTAATTTCATAATTTGTATTGTTACATAATTAGGTGCTAAAATTTCATGAAATCTTTCGGCTTGAGCATAGAGATACATCTCATCTAATAATAAAACACGTGATTGATTCGATTCATTGGCCAATAAACATTTACTCTTCAATAGAGCAACACCTGTGCAAAAGCTTGAGTATATACAAAGCGAAATACAATAGCAAACACAATACTAATCCCAACCTCATGAAGATCCCACGTAGGACTGTCATCGATATCCACCTCATCAATAAATCGCGATGGATTTGCGTCCGATATCGATATCGAAATAAATCGAAAAATAGCGATCCGATACAGTATATCACAATAAAGTACATCCTTTTTCTGGTAAAAGAGTGTTGTTTATTACTTTTTGTGGCTAAAATGTAGCCAGCGAAGCATCAGTAGCATTTTTGACTGAGCGCCGCCATTATCGGAAGTAGTGCAGGGCGCATGCATACAGAGACAATCAATAACTGTGGTGTTCTATTGTCTCTGGTGCGTATCCTGTCTCACTGATCTCTATAATAAAATCTGTCTACCGGAAAAGCATGTCTGCTGCTTCGCCATCGCCGCGACGCCAGGTCAATCTGGTTGAATTCAGATATTAAAATATACTTCGCCCACGTTGCATTTAAGCACAGCGATGTATAAAATGCATCTAGTTATCATAAGTAGAAATAGAATACAATACATGTATTCTCAAATAAGTTATGTATGAGTTTACTGTACTTTCACGGCTCTGTATCAATATTTTCCAAGTTATGCAGGGGTTGAAATTAGAGTTTTATTATGGTATCGACGTATCCACTTATTGAATCGGATCGAAATATCGGAAAAATATATCAATAATCGAATCCAAATAATTTGATACTAATGACAGCCCTAATCCCACGTAGTATCTAACTAGAATAACGAACACACCTCCATGTCAGTTGTCTTCAGGTTGGGCCTCTTACGTTGGGCCTTCTTTCCAAAGGTGGTCTCAAAACTCTCAGTGTCCAAAATATGGACTCTAGCATTCTGTATAATGCAAAATTCGTGTATGCATTAAACACCACACCAGATATATACATATATACACTGACCTACCCAATATTTAGTTGTACACTTAGATACAGACAACAATGAATTTCAATACACAGTGAAGTTCATGCACATGTATATGGCACCTATATTAATTTGATCAACATTCATGGCATGGATTCATTATTTCCTTTTACCTTGGCCGTTTCATTTAGTAGAGTGATAGGCAATTTTGTCTGCTTCATTACAACCCTGTATGGGTCTTTTACTACTTTTCCCATTTCATCCTGGAAGGTCTGTAATGCTTTCTGTGTTACAACTCTTGTGTTGCCTATCATGAAAGAGAATGATTCACCACTTAGGTAATTACTCTTGGGGTTTCCAGGTTTCACTTATCACCCTACTTGCTGAATGAAAATGTGTGATGATAAAAGTCACATCGTTTAGTAATTGGTTTGTAAATAAAACGAATATTTAATATAAATGCAGTGCCAATAAATACAGCTTAGATATATATAGCATAACATATAGGTTAACATATAATAAGTTGTTCATGTATTTTAGATAAGTATACCAAATAAGCTTTGTACCAAACCATCTCCTGTTAGGCTCCACTCGCGATACAGCACCCGAGGTTACCCAAGACTGAAATGGAGCTGCTTTTACTACTTTTCCGATTTTGTTTCTGCAAAGGCAAATAGTATTTCATACTGGCAGTTTCCCCAACAACACTTTACTGCCTAACACTAGTAAAACTAACAGTACTTTCCTTGTGGTAATTGCAAAAACAATCTCCTCTGCTCACCTGACTGGTTTGAAATTTTTGTACATTAGCAGGCGTTTGATAGTCGACTTGTCCCTCATTCCAGCATGCGTTTTTACCCGGTCTGAAAAACGTTTACAAGTCAAATCAATAATGTGAGTACAGTGATATAGTGCACTTGATACATTAATTGTCGAAGCAGTAAGCAATGGAAGTAACATGACTCGAGGACTTGAGGTACTCTATTATGATACAAAGTGGCTGGAGGTACGGCAGCCGTCGTTCGTTGAAGCCCCTTTTTGGCGTTTGTTTGAGGGCTGAGGCAATTATTTGCGATCTTCTTCTGTAAAGTTTACAATAATGTTCATTTTCATACCTAATCCGAGTGTTTTCTAGCTCATCAAAACTCTCAAATCGTGAATTTATTTCCCAAGGCATTATTTCAAAATCTGCCGCCATCCGCCGCCATCTTTGTCTCGTTTGTATGAAAGCAAATTGACTGCTGTACCTCCAGCCTCGTAAATTGGAGATACGGCTGCCGTACCTCCAGCCACTGCTATTAAAGAGTTTTCCAGTGTTTTCACCACTTTCATGACACCTACCGTTATTGCTAGAGTAACAGCAATTGTCTAGAGTAACAATAAAATGTCTTAGAACCTTAGAATTCACCGAAAACTGCCAGTTTCAAACTAATCGTTTTTGTAAACATTCGTTTTCTGTCATCTTGAACTAACAGGAAGTATGGATTAGCTTGTGGCACCACCGCTTATCTGCCATAGACATAGTACAGGCATGCACTTGTTTTCAATTCATCACCGACACAAATACAAGTTTACCAATTCTGCCATTAGGCATTATCGGCATACGATAAAATTTATTGCTTTACGATGTGGTCAAATCCATTTTTCTATGCTATAACTGCATAAAATCTTAGTATTTTTGTTGGTGTAATCAGTGATATTTCTGCTGTCAGGTGAGCTGACCTGAATGCCACAAGAAAATCCTATGTCAGAGGTCAACATATAACGTATATAAGCTGGTTAGCAACATTTCCAGTACCAAATTATTATCAGAGTAGCTATATGCTCGGCAGCCGGCATATATCTGACGGCTGCCGGGCACGGTCTTCGATTTCCTAAATGCCCGGCAGTTTTTAATTTTCAGCTTTATTTCAAGTAAACAAGGGTTAGGGTTAGGGTTAGGGTTAGTGTTAGGAACTGCCGGGCATTTAGGAAATCATAGGCCGTGCCCGGCTGCCGGACATATAGCCACAGCGAATTATTACACTAGGCCTTGAATTGTTGAAGTAGATTTAATAACTTTTCTGATGGCCTTTTTTTCATAACGGCAGATGGCGCTGTAACTGTGATTATTCATATATAGGTGCAGGCGGACAGCCGGGAACTTTGCCACATCCGGGACTTTCTTAACCTAGCAACCAGCTGTGCCGGTGAAAACAACAGCCTGTCTCTGTGAGCTTACACACGCAATACCCCATTTCCAAACCAAAAGAATACTAATTTCCTTGCATATATGCCGAAAACTTGTGTAGTAGTAGGTTGTCACAATCATATATATTGCACAGATAAGAAAAGATATTTTTTTGAGCTGCCAAAATGACATAAGAGTCCAGAGAGGCGTGATAAGTCATAAGTGGCTGACTGCCACTTAAATGTAAATGAGTAAATTGTACGAACTGGAGTCCGTCAAAATTCTCCACTATTTGTTCTGATCATTTCGTGACAGGTAACTACTATTTTATAACTGCGTGTGTGTGTGTGTGTGTGCGAGTGCGTGTGCGTGCATCTGTGTGTGTGCGTGCGCGTCCGAGTGCGTGTGTGTGCGTCTGTGTGTGCGTGCGCGTGCGTGTTTGTGTATCCTTGTGTGTGCGTGTGTGTGCGTGTGCGTGTGAGTGTGTCACTGTGTGTGCGAGTGCGTGTTTGTGTGTCACCGTGTGTGCGTGTGCGTGTGAGTGTGTCACTGTGTGTACGTGTGCGTGTGCATGTGAGTGCGTGTGCGTGCATGTGCATTTGTGTGTGCGTGTAGGTGTGCGTCCAAGTGTGTCACTGCATGTGCGTGTGCCTGTGCGTGCGTGTTTGTGTGTCCTTGTGTGTGCGCGTGTGCGTGTGTCACTGTGTGTGCGAGTGCGTGTGCGTGTGTCACTGTGTGTGCGTGTGCGTGCGCGCGTGCGTGTGCATGCGTGTGTGCGTGTTTGTGTGTCCTTGTGTGTGTGCGTGTGCGAGTGCGAGTGCGTGTGAGTGTGAGTGTGTCACTGTGTGTGCGAGTGCGTGTGCGTGTGCGTGTGAGTGTGTCACTGTGTGTGCGTGTGTCACTGTGTGTGCGTGTGTCACTGTGTGTGCGTGTGCGTGTGTGTGCGTGCGCATGTGTAATCTTGGACTTTGTTTTTGTTTCACGAGACCTGGGGTAATTTTATTCAACTAATGCAAAGCAAACAAATACAAATAAGAATAGCTTAAAATATTTATCTTATGTATCATATGTATCTTACATAATGTCATAATTATAGCTACAGAAAGGCTATCTATATACTCGTAAAGGATATTAGAAGAAATATCATGAAAAAAACTTATTAAAACTTCCAAACCAAGTGACGGATAATTCGTATAGTTATGCAGTAATCCTATGGGTGTTGTTTTCACCGGCGTTCTGCTGGTGGTCACGTGACTACTGATCTGTGACGTAGCTCCGCCCGCACCTATTTTGCCTTCCTGGGGCCCGTTGTCAGAAACTTCGTAAAGTTACGATTAATTTTAAGTCTAATGTTAATGTTAAGGTTAATTTTAATAGCTTTTGCCAGAAACCAACTTAAACTTAACTTACTTAAGTGAAAACTTACGATAACATGAACTTCATAATTTCATGTCACAAGGTTGCTGATTGGATGAGAATCGATCACAAAATTCAAATTCATACACATTTATTGTACATCACAGTAATTTATGCATATTATGATGGCTAACCACATATAAATAATATTTGATGAAAAATTACGTGGTCATGAATTTATTCTGCACAACAAGACAAATTCTCACACTGTAACGCGAGAATCGTGGCAAGCGTTGCAAACCTTTAAAACAAGAGAACAAATGCCATACGTCATTTGTAAATGTATTGTTTTGTTTTATTAGTGGTAGATAATTAATGATTTTGACGTGTTTTTTAAGAAAAACACACATTTTATTCATTATTACAAAAATATAATATCACTATAATTGTAATTCGTAGTGTAAATGTGTTATTTTCAACTTAATATTAAAGTTAAGGGAGGGTCTAAAGTTAAGTCTAAAAGTCTAAAGGGAGGGTCTAATATTAAAGTTAAGAGAAAAGTTACGAGAATTTTTAATTATCTTAACTTTACGAAGTTTCTGGCAACGCTTTAAGAGAAAAAGTTAATGTTAAGGTTAATGTTAAGACTAATTTTTTTCTGACAACGGGCCCCTGGGTTTTATTTGTATAACTAGCTTAAAATTTTACAGAATATCTCCTAAATTTAAATTATACCAGAAAGCCTTATAAACATATCAAGAAGCACTACAACAAGAAGCAAACCCACCCCCCCCCACCAAGAAGGCACAGCAGGCAATTGGGCAATTCATCCCTAATTGCTGCATTTTCATATAATTCAATGTCAGTGTCACGCCTCACGAGTCACGGCAACTTTACCTGGATTCGTGCTATTTTGTGCCTTGTTGAAGGTAGCATTACCAGCCCTTCTTGGTTGCGCCGTCCTAGCTTTGCCCATTTCGCAAGAGTTATTGAAATAATATACTCTTTATGGTAATGCAGCAGCTAGTGACCCAAGCTGTAATGTTTCTACTACAGTCTACAGTACACAATATTTAGTATTTACTAGGAAATCACGCACACATGGACGCTAATGGGAGCAGCCATGTAAAATAAATGAACAGCAGAAGGAAATTTTAGAAATTCCTTCTTTTTTTTATATTTAATTTTTATAAGTAACATATATTTGTATTTTTCTTTTTATTATTTACACTATGCATAGTTTATTTTTTACATAGTACAAAGAGTTATTGTATATTAAAATTATAAGTTTTCTTTGCCACATTCATCCGCCAGGGGTTATCTCGCGAGATTTATCGAAGTCTGAAACGAAAAGATAGAATGGCTGCCACACTAATATCCCGAAACTCTATGAGTTTGGTCCGACGCAGCGTCATAATTTCAGCTATTCGGACGAAAGGGAGTAAGTACTTATATTCCCAGCTATTTACCTAACTTGAGTATTGTAACAGTAAGAAGTTAATATAAATTTATTTAGAGTGACATGTAACTGTAAGAAACGTGAGTCGTGACCTCTTGTGAGTCTTGACTCTTCACTCACCTTGCCCTTGCAGTTGCAAGTCGCATGCCATTACTGGCATTAGTGATTAGCATTACTCATTAATTAGCATTTTTTATTTTAAATTTACATGACTTATTTGCAACGTAATCATTCTTCTGGTGAAGGGTTCACAATTGTGCATGTGACATAAACTAAGAATAAGATGTCACATTATATTTGTATGTAAATTGTGTAATGAAAGATTTGAAAACGAAAAATATGATGTTGTATCTTGAAGTTGTAATTGTATCTTGGCTCCCTCTCTTGTATTTCACGACACAAGGCACTCGATTACATCGAAGTGCGGGGATTATCTAGAGAAACAGAAGATTATTACCGCCTCTACTTCTCTAAATATTAGTGTTTCTAATCACCAGGATTTTCCGCACATACCCTAACTCTGGTTTCAATAACCCGTGTTTGTCCCCTCTCCAGCCGTCTATTGTTCCCCATCCTTATATGATATATCTATTATAGCTATCACAATTATATAAATGTTCCATATCCTCTTTCATATTCTTATTACAACGGTTACACCTCTCATCGCTGAAGTTATTTCTAAAGTAGCCTTTATTGAATGTTGAATTTGTTAATATTTTGAAAATTACGTGCATTGGCATGACATAGACATAGTTACAATGCGTACAAACCTCGTAAAGAGTAGTCTTCAAAGTTCAAGGAACTATATCGAAGATGGAAAGAGAACAAAAGAAAGAGACATGGCGACGGCCCTTGGTCATGAGGACGTTAATATAATATAATAAGTACAGTAGTGCACAGTACTACAGTAGTAGTAACAGTACACATGTGCGACACAGCGTGATATACTGTATAATTTTACACAACATACATTTTCTAAAGAAAACTACACAACCTTACCACCTCCAACAAACTTCAAACCATTGATCAGAACCCTAACATAGTGGTAGACAGATGGCATTTGTGCCTATGAGCCATTTTGCATCCATTACTAAGGCTCATAGGGTCATGTCCCCCAGGGTACTGCCAGAACGTACCCTGGGTATGGTCCGGTATACCGGAACGTACCCTGGGTATGT